CTCAAAAAGTACCATTTTCCCTTGGGAAAAAATATTGAATCCCATGCAAGCTTTGATTATAAACCAACTTTCGAGACCTATAGTGGGAACCAAATGTTAAACTGAGTTGAGAGGTGCCAAATATCCAAGAAGTTCCCAAAACATTAAAAAGACATGCTATTGGACACTGATGAACTAGTCAGAGGGCAGGAAAACAGGGCAAAGTGTAATATTTGCCTGGGAATACTCAAATCTAGCTTTACTTTCACTATAGCCACTTAACTTTATTAAAAGAACCTATCACTATATTCATGAACTTGCTTAGGGAAAAACTCATTGAAGTTGCTTCAGTGTAGGCAAGACAGAACTCATGTATGTTATATACAGATCTGCCTCTTGTGAAATATGGGCATCAAACTCTAAATATGGGTCTTTTCAAGGGTTTTTTTATCATCTTTTTTGAATAAATGGAAATTTGGACAGTGTGTTCCCAGTCTTGAAATTGGGTATTGATTGCTCATTTTTTAAAATCATAGTTTCATCTGGGCCTTGCCAGCTTCAACTTCTGTGCAAAGATCATAAAAGCCACATTCTTATCTTGCAGTCTATACTGCTAATTTTGTTAATGAGCATAAAATAAAAGATTGGGAGATCTGGTTTTGTAGTAAGCCCTTTCATTTATTTTATAGGGATCATTAAATTGCTTCAATGTATGTTCTGCGCTCTAAGAAAATAAGTGAAATAACTGTTGGAATGTAAGACAGCTTAGATATATAGCTATACTGCCAAAAATTTTTTGATTAAGCATAGACATATGCCATGACTCGCCTATCATAGATTGAGATTTTAAAATGCCAAATGATTTTTCAACTTATACAAAGTTTGTAGGCATAAGTTTTCCAGAATGGGTGTGTTTATTTGTTAATTAAAATTCATTATTTTTAGGAGCTAGATTGTGACTGTGTGTCTGTGTCTGTGTTTGTGCTGTTTGTGAGAGGAAAATGACCTAAGTCACATTGAATTACATTTCTAAACTGTGTTTGTAAATCCTTCACAGTGAACTTGTTGAAAGTTAATATTGCTGTAACACTTTACAGGTTTTGCCTCTGGGTGCTTCTGGTGCTTGAAGCTTTCTTTTGTCGTTTTTGAACAGTAAGCTGTCTTTTTGGGGTAATATGATCAGCATGTGTTGCATGAAAAATCACCATTTGTAATGTTCATAAGCTCCTTGTTGAATGGAGAGTCTATTTTTTATAACCCTGTCTGTACTAATAATTGGCATTGTTAAATACTTTTAAAAAGATTCCTGTTGCTACGTCTCCTGAACAGTATCTCTTGAAATGAAGCAAAAATTTGAACCTCAGCATGATTGTATGCATTTTGCTGATTTGATAATTGCAGTAGAAATTGAAAGATGTTTTGAAAGATAGTATTGAAGATTATGGGCGTTCAAGCTTATCATGATGTCTTTTGAACAGTTGCCCTATTGATCCTTCTCAGATTTGTATGCCAAGATGCAGAACGTGGTGGTTTTTTTCAGTATTACACTATCTCTCCAATTTGTAATTTTAATTTTCTTTTTCATCCCTCCACATTTTTGAAGTATTCTTCCTTGCATCATATATTTATTTTTGAGTTTGATTCTATGTGATCTTTTTTTTCCATACTGGTCATTCATATTTGTATTTGGTCCATTCTCATGCCAATTCATTTTTTACTTTTTTTCCTGTTTTACCACATTTACTTCTTAAACACTCTATTCCCATTACATTCAATTTACAATTATGTTTGCATTAACATAGCAAACTCTTGGTTCCTTATTTTAAAAAAAAAGCCTTGCAAGATAGCTTTCTACATAGTCATTTGGTCTCTTTAAAGAAACATTCATTCCTTGTGATAAACTAACCATTATCTTTCTCCCAACATTGATATTTTAAAGTTTCTTCATCATTTCAGTGACGACCAGGGACACAATTTAGCCCTTCCTTTTTAGACATAACTTGACATTATTCCCTCCTTTATGAAACACCTAATGTCTAATGTCAATACAAGCATTGTTTTTGCCTCTATCCATAAATATAGTAAGAACCAAGAAGACTTCACCCATTGTTAAAATACTCCTGTTATTGTTGACCCATTTGTTACATATTCATTCTCATGCATTTGTTATTGTCCTTTATAGTCCTTGTTTAACAACTGCCTTATTTAATGAAAAGTAAACTTTATAACTTATGTTTGCATTTATGATCTTAGAGGTTTGTAAAAGAAAACTGAAATAAGATCATAAGCACATCATAGTTTTACTTAACCATTGTGGTTGTTAAATAAGAACTACCTATATATCTTTTATGCATTCAACAATCAAATTTAAACTCCATATTTGCACAAAATGTTCCTCAGATCATTCACTCAAATCTGTTTGAACAGTCATATGCATTTTATATCAGCAAATCTACAATCAACTGTTTTTATTTTAAACTGTCTTCCTGGGAAAAAAGTCACAACATACTTCCCAAATTGTGTTGCTTATCATCCTTCCTAGCCTTTTGATTGAAATCTGTAGAGGCTTCTGAAATGCATTTAAACAACTGATTCCTCAATAATCCTGCTTTTATTTTGCTATCTTTCCTTTTGTGGCATTCTTGTGATCAACAAAAATGCATTGTTCACAACATGCTAAACAAGTTACATATGCACTCCATAAACAAACCACAATCACAATTCAACGTTTATAACTGTTGTTGTTGCTCTTGGTGCCTTATTTTCACATGTCAATGTTTCTAACTCTATTAGGATAAATACAGTGGTACTTCGGGTCGTGAATGCTTCTGTTCGCAACCAAATCCGGTGATGACCAGAATTTTTGGCAAAGTTTTGTTTCTGGTCACGAACACTTCTTCGGGTAGTGACCAAACACAGCTACTGCAATTTTCCCTGCCGCAGCTGTTTCCCCTTCGGTGCCATTTTTTTTGTCTGCACATGCGCAGATGGTCGTGCTTCAAATAGGTTGTGACCATAGTCCCGGAACAGATTACGATTGCGACCCAAGGTTCTACTGTATCTAAATAATTTTTATGTAGCTGGCAAGAAACAATGGCTTTATAGAATATTTCAAAAAGATAAGTAAACTCCATAGACCTAGTTTTTTAACCTCCGTCTTTACTAACTTTAGAAAATGTCTAATTTATTGCTCTTGTTTGGTAAGTAGCTCTGCTACAAGTAGATTCCTAAGTGTCCTGCTTCTCTGTTTCAGCTTCTTTCCTAAACTTACAGTATCTCTCCAGCCTCCTCTAATTAATGAGCAAAGCTGTCTTCTTTCTGAGACTCAGAGGTATTTCTACTTGGGGTTAATTCTTACAACATACTTTGATCATCTAATATATGTATTCAGATCATCAACATTCTATTTAATATTCCAAAGTATGCATATGCATTTTGCCTTCCCTTCACATACACAAATAGGAATTCAAACTTAACCATATTTCCACAATGGGAATTGTGTCTTCAGGAAAGCAACTAAAGCAACATTCCTTATTATTCTTTATTTTATTTTGGAAAAATTAACCATTTTACCTCATTTTAATGTAAAAGAAAGACCTGGCTGGTTCAGTGTAAAGGGGGGAACAAAGCAACATACAAAGCTGCTTTCAATTAAATGAAACATGCATATTTCAGTATCTTAGATATGGTCCTCTAAAAGCTCTTAACTGCCATCACTATTGTTTTTTTAAGTAATTAATAATGTTTATATCCTTTCCAAACTTAAGTAAAAAATAATAGTTTAAAAGAAAGAAGTGAAACCCTTCTATTGTTATATGAAATATTTCATGGATTATTATAGGAAAACCATTTAAATTTCAAACATTATTTAACAGTTACTTTTATCTCACATTCATTCTTTCATGTGTTTCTTTTTTGCTATTTAATTTATTGTGTACTTAGGGAAATGTTAAAAATGGATACATTATCTTTTATAATTTCTTTAAATTTTGCATCTGAACCAATTTAGCTCATAGATTTGAAAAACTAAAGTGTAATTCCAGAAATGCATCCTATTTTGTATTAAAGTAAAATTTCCAGTACCCTGTCATCTATATATTGAAGGAGACTTTTTATGGAAGAATCCTTGAGATATAAATCTATCTTGATTTATAATGTCTGCACATAATGATTTTTTTTCATTATTGAATAATCTGATCGTCAAAATTGTATAATATATTAATTCTGTACTGAGTATACTAAGAATTTCAGAGGTAAAAGATAATAGCTTATGATTGCAAATACAGTATGTTCGAAAACTACTAACTCTGCAGATGCGAGGAAAATGGCCAAATAGACTAATTAATAATCCATGATATGTAGGTACTTTTTTATGCTAGCAAGTAAGTAAACCCACTTCTAATAGGCTGCCTCTTGCAAATTGGATGCTTAAATTTGCTTTTTAAAAATTGTATTCCCATTGTATCAGGGATTTTAAAAGAAGAAAAATCCTTCTGTTAGTATCAATGTACTTTTGCAATCATTGTTCACTTTTGAGCGTGGGGATATTCCAATATTTTATAAAATATTTTCATTTCTTCTCTCCTACATGCTCTTCTTTTTATTATATTTATATAAGTATTTTTTTCTAATTTAAATTTTAACTGATTTTTAATACAGTTTATTGCAGGGTTTTAAAGGAGGAGGAAAAATGAATGTCTTATTTGAATATAGATCTAGAAATTATTTAATGAGATAAAGTATGCTGTGCATAATTTTGTTCAAGTGGCTTCATTTAGTTCACATGAAAAGGAAATAACAATTCTCTGTGTGTGAAGTAACTGAAGTATCATGTCACAAAATGTGATTCTCAATAATCTTAATCTTTGACAACAGTTTTTGAAAGCCAATTTTTTTACAAAAGCATTGTTTTATTATAGAATACTGTAAGCTTAGATATAATTGAATAATAGAAATATATTTTTTAACTGTACCCTGCATACTGATGCTCAAATAATTCTCCCATCCCTTACTTTTTCCAGATCATCTGATAAAGAGTACTCAGAAGATTTTCTGAGAGAACTCACAGCTCAGGAGGACTACAGTTCAGGAAACAAGTGGAAAGTATCTGCAAGGTCCTTTCATGCAGAATCCGCCACAATTACATCACAGCAGAGCCGAGGCAGATCTGGGACATTGCCCAGTGATTACAGATACTCACAGGAAAATCTAAATGAGAAAAGCAAAGATTATGGTGCTTTGCCTCTTATGATTTCTGGACTACAAATATCAGATAAGAACCAGCACTGTTTAACACATATCAAAGCAGAAGAAAATCTACAGGGGAATTCTATACTGCTGAATAAGAAACATGGCTCTTTTCCTCAGAGGCCACCCGCACCCAAACAAGATAAGAAACACAGGCGACAGGATAGTTTTTCAGCTTCACTTGCTTCAGAATCTTTACTGACTGTACCCAACAGATCAGATCAGTCTTCCCCTGCTGCTACCAATATAGCTATAGGCACATCATCACCTTCTCAGGTTCCCTCAAAAAATTCTGGAAAATTTATAAGTGCAGAGTCTGGGCAGTTGGCATCAACAGAAAATGTTTTTCAGCATTTAGAAGAAAAAAGACATCTCAAATCTGAACCTCCCCTTCCTTCAGCTTATCGTTACCATCTAAAAGCTAGAATGGAAGCATCAAGATCCCCTTCACCACAATTTGCTCCACCAAAGCTGACTGATAAGCCACCTGTGCCTGCTCAGGATGAAAATTCCGCAAGGTAAGCCTCCTTACACAAACTGTTAAACATTTGTCACATTTTTTATTGTTGGATTGGTTCACCAATTTAATATTAGGTTTCCAGGCACTATCACTACATGGTTTTAGCAGTTTAAATGTTAAGTTTTCTAGAGAGTTTTAGAACCGTATTATTTTAACTCAATAGAAATTATATACAATTTATTTCAGCTTTTAAACTGAGTTCAGTGCAACATGCTTAACATACGAGTGAATCTCATTAACAAGTCTTGAAAATAAGGATAGACATCCAGTGATTTTAAGACTAATTAAAGAATAAGAAAGCACAAGATATGAGCATATGCTGTGATTGCATGTTCCACTATTATCCTAAAACTTATTTTCCAAGGACTATTTTGTGTATAATACATATGGCCATGTTAATAAAATCCAAAGAAAACAGAATGCATGTATCCAGTCTTATATATACTATTACAGGGGTGTCAAACTCAAGGCGTCACAGTGGTGTCATGTGAGATATCAGGACTTTTTTCCCTTTTGCTAAACTGGGCATGGGTGTGGCCAGCATGTGACGCATCTGGCCCATGGGCCAGGAGTTTGACAGCCCTGTACTGTTCTGACTTAGGCTTCACCAAATAATGAAACAGACTCATTATCCTGACAAAACCCCTTTTTATTTGACTAATGTGAATTCCTATCATTCACATCCAGCAAAGTCCTGGCAAACAGTCTTTCAAGGGTGAATTGCAGCCACAGACCTTATCAGGCTTGGAGAGTTGCCAGGCTGATAGCTTCCAAGCACAATGCTGTACAAGGAAATACTTGGCAAGGAGTCTCTGGGAGTCAAGAACTTAGATCTTCACACTAATTAAATGGACTAATTAAATGGACCACTCCCTTTTCGCTGCTATTTATTCCCTGCGGGAGGGGCCATTCACCATCCACCTGTGCCTTTACTCCCGAGTCGCCCCTTGATCCTTAACTGTTCCCTCTCCAGATAGCTCTGTGCATGCACACATCAGGAATAGGCACCAGCTGTTCTTCTGCCCCACTGCCCTCCGATCCAAAGGCAGCTTTTAACTATCAGATGGCCCTGGCCCCATCTCTGCCTCTGATGCAGGGCATTCATCAGAGCCTTCCCAAAAGTCCAGGACTGGCCCATGTTCCTCCCAAACCTCCTCACTGTCTGAGTCTGTTGCCAGCTCTGCTGGCAGCTGGCAGGCCACAATATGGACTATTTGGATGTTTTCAAACCAGAAGTTCATACCTTTCTCACTATGGAAATCTGAAAGTTAGTTTTATGAATGGTTGAAAATTGATATAAATGTTGCCAGAATAATTAGCAAAACAATGTTAATTTCTAGATCTAACTTCTCTAAGTGAACAACTGTATTTGTTTGATAGAAGATGAGGGTGACTCCAGGGAACCCTATATTACAATGACAGTTCTTTGGACTTAGTTTTATTGCCAGCAAAACAGGACTTCCTAAAATGAAACAAAGATGGCCTTAGACAGTTTCTAAACATTTCTGTTCCCTTGGTAGGGTGATGAGCATTAAAAAAAGCATATAATACAACAATTTATTTCCCATTATAGCTAACAATAAATAATATTTAACATCAAAACAAATAAAACAACTGCCAAGAAAATCAGCTTTTCACTGGTACAAGTTAGCAGGATTTTATATAAAGGTATAGAGCTCCTGATTTGTTGCCCTTCAAAAACGTGCACACTGAATTTTAATTTGTGAACAATACAAATGGACCATATTCACATTTTGTAAAGCCAATAAAAAAAAATAGATGTATCTGGGAAGATCCAAGTCAAAATCCCCAATACACTCACTGCAGCTGCCCTGGCACCCCGGGAGTTATGCAATCACAATCTGTGCACGTGGCAACTGGCTTGCATTTACAATAGTTGTAGTATCCTATGGTCACAAGATCACCATTTGTGACCTTTCCGGAGGGCTTTCCACAAGTAAGTCAATGGGGAGGGTGACAAGGAATGTGGCAAGTTGCTCCTGCTCCTTCCTTTTTTTTTTTCCTGAGGAGCTTGAACTCAACAGTACGAAATCCCAGGGACTTTGTACTACATAGTTTGCACATGCCTACAATAGCCCCTGCCTGTACTCCACAGTGAAGGCATAGCTGGCCATGTTTATGGTAGGCTGCAGCAATCGCTCCGCTTTGCCCACGCATGCTAATTAACGGTGTGTCCTCCTGCACTCATAGCAGCCATCTTTCCATCTGGCCATGTTCCTGCTGCACCTTGGCAGCCACTCCTTGCCTTTCCAGACCCTGTAGCACTTACCCATCTGTTGGCCTGTTTGCAAGATGACAAAAACTTGCAACTTCCTGCCAGTTTCCTCATTGACTTTGCTTGTAGATGCTGTCAAGAAGTCATAAATCACAATCATGTGAGGTCTCTGCTTAATGACCTGATCTTTGCTTAACAACAACAGTGGGGGCTGCCTGGATTGCCTTTGCTAAACAATGGAATCACATGATATCATTCTTTATGACTGTATCACTTAGTGATAGAAATTCTAGTCCCAATTATGGGCTTTAAGTAAGGACTATGTGTAATAAATGCCTTAAGTGAAGTAATCTTCATTAGTCATAGTTACAGATTTATCAGATGTTATGTTTCATATGCCAATTCAAGTTTCATACTGATTTATAAATTGCTGTTCAATTTTTTCACCTATACATAATGAACATAGCTTAAATTTTAGAAAACATTGTTATAAACCAGAGGTCTCGAAACTTGGCAGCTTTAAACTTGTGGACTTCAACTCCCAGAATTCTGGGAGTTGAAGTCCACATGTCTTAAAGTTGGCAAGCTTGGGGACCCCTGTTATAAACAATGAGAACCTTGTTTAGATTACAATAGTAATTTGCACGTTATTGGAAAGAATTGTCATTGAACAAAGTAGATGTTTCTTCATATCAGTATACTGTATGTAGGATCAGTCAGCACATTTAGGCTTAATATTTTTGTTCATCTTTTTTAAAAGGAGAAAGCATATTAGATATCTTTGAAATTTTATTCAAGTCCACTTCTTTGTACATTTTATAACTTTAGTAACAATGGCTGGTGCTCAGTTAAATAGGGATATTTAAAATATAATGGAAATGTGAAAGATAAAATGTGATGTTACCCATTCATAAATAGGCTATTAATCTGTATCGTTCAACTAGTGTTTATATAATATATGTAATGTGCTTTTTTACAATTTTTTCTAAAGAATTGAAAGAGTGATGGATAACAATACAACCGTAAAAATGGTTCCAATCAAGATTGTACATTCTGAGAGCCATTCAGAGAAGACAAGCAGACAGAATCTTGGGACCACAATAGAGCCTCCTACTTTACCAAGTGGCTTAGAAAAAGACCAAATCAAGACACTTAGCACTTCTGAACAGTCCTATTCACGTTTTTGTGCTTATACGAGACAAGATGTGGAAACTGAGCTTGAGAACAAATCAAACCTGTCGTCTTTGCAACCTATTGAAAGCTTTGGGAAGAACATAAAAGAGAATGACATATCCACCCATGCAGTTAACTATGTGAGAGCCAAAGAAAAGACAATTGAGGACTGGAAATCAGAAGAATTAGCTAGAGAAATAGTAGATAAAGATAAATCATTAGCAGAAATTTTAGACCCAAATGTGAAAATAAAAACCACAATGGATTTAATGGAGGGAATCTTTCCCAAAGATGAACATCTCTTAGAAGAAGCACAGCATCGCAGAAAATTTATTTTAAAGATTTCAGCACCCAAAACTGAAGAGGAAAAGTAAGTACACATTTTTCCAATACAAATTAATTTATCTTTTTATCTTTTTTTAATCTTATATGTTCACACACTCTATTTTAAGTTTTGTTCTATTAAAATACAAGTTATATTATCAAAATAAACATAGCAAACATAACTACTGTAACTTTCTTCCAGTGCACACCCAGTTTTGGTTGGGATTTAGATTCTAACTTGTTTTGAAAAATACCAGCTTCACAAATACACTAGAGTTGAATCCCCATTATTCCTAGTGGTTTATTAAAAACTTATAAATACTTAATGATTGTGGAGGTTTCATTTCACTATTATATATACTTGTTGTTGACAGATTTACTGTGCCTTGCTGGATAAGAATTGTTTTCATTACTTGCTGTGTTTTATTATAAATGTTATCATTCAAAGCAAATAAGAGTTACTTCACGGAACAGTAATTTTGTACTATAATTAATTACAAGTTACCAGCAACACCGATATCTACATTTCTGAGCAATCTGAGAAAGGCAGTAGGTCTTACAAGCTCAAATTAAGAGTGGGTAAATTGGATTAGCACTAATACAGTGTGTTGATGAGTGTTGGATATGGCAGGCTGACTCAGATCAGTGAATGACTTTGGGTGAGCCACTGTTTTAGACCAACTTACCTTTCAAACCTGTTGCAGGGTAGAATGAGAGAGAACTTCCATATATGTAATCTTGAGTTGTCAGAAGAAAAAGCTCCGTATAATTGCAATAAATAAAATAAAAAACAATGCATCCTAGTAAATATTCTAATAAATTATAGTCTGATTCACCATAAATAAGGGTTACTTAGCCTTATGACAACATTTTCTCATACAGTAACAGAGGAGTTCTTAAATCTTTCAATAACTGTTTGTTTGTAAAACTTAGTAAACATTCAAAAAGTATATAAAATATTTTATATATACTATTGAGCTTTGCCAAAAATATCAATTTGGATATTTCTCTAGATTTTTGGAGGATAATCATGAGAAATTGCAAACATCTAACTGAAAATTAATGGGAGATAGAAAATGAAAATATAATATTCTCATAAACACACACACACACACACACACACAAATGGAGTCTTATTTCCAAGCAAGTGATTGTTTGGTTGTTCATGCCAAAAAGAGAGACAAAGAGCTATTTATATGTTAGATATTCAAATTTTGTTCCTCTTAATAGAGTGTCTATTATGTTGAGGAATGAAACAATGTTGATTACTTTTTTGCAGTGATATATGATAGAAAATGTTAAATTTTGTGAAGGCCTTTCTCAGACTGATTCACTATCATTGGCACCCACCATGCAATATATGGGTTTCAGTATTATAGTCCATGGCTTGTCTTTTTGTACTCTATGTATGTGATTATGTGTGCATTGACCTCTAAAAGAAGCAGGGTTTAGGTTGAATAACATGAACACCATCTTGCCAGTTTTGACCCACGGTAGACATCATTGGTTCTTTACTGTTTATTTGGAGGAAAAATAAACCTTCTTTAATTGAATTATTTTCCAAAATAATTGATCCTAAATGTACAATATATTTCCTGTCAGTAAACTGATTTGAGTCTTAATTTTTCTAGTGTTAAGAGAAAGCTGTTTTTAGCAATAGGTTCTTTTAAGCATTAGAACTGCAGATAATGAAACCCAAGAACCTATATATTTACTAAATGTGTGCTTATGGAATGAGATAATCAAGGCTAATGAAAGCCACAAACAGATTTAAATATTACCTTTCTTCCATTGACCATGTAATCAAGGATAGGGCATAGAAATCTAAATATGGTCAGAGAACATCAATTAGAAGCAAAATAGAAATCAGCACTTTAGGCCATAATTTTGAGACATTCCTTTAATTTCCTGTCTCTAGCTAGATTCTTAAGAGTGATAAAATAATATGGTTATTTTATCCATTGTTTCTGTGGGTATCTTTCTCTTAACCCTACAATCTATGTACTGCAAATAGTATTTCCACGTAATTATTATCTTGCTTTCAGTGCATAAACATTTCAAGAAGTCTGTTGAAAACTAGTATTTTTTTTTAAATCTTTGCTTAGGAAAGAGGAGCTGCCTCTGTCTTTGGCCATTCCCTTAACAACTAATTCCACTTACTATAGCACCTCTGCGCCCAAGGCAGAACTTCTGATCAAGATGAAGGATATGCAGCAGCAGCAGCAGCAGCAGCAACAGCAAAGTGAGGAGGATTCTGAAAACGAGTTAGACCACAATTTGTCTGAGAAGAAGGTAAGTTTGTCGTGAAATTTTGGTTTCAGTATTACTTATTATTGAAAGCCATGGTCTTGAGCTATCTAGTGGTTCTGTCTCATTGCCAGTTCAGCTGAAAATAAAATGCGATCACACCAAAAATTATGAGGAAGCAACAGTTTGTAGTATCCAGTATTCACAAAGTAAAAGAGAGAAGCTCCTATTGAAATGAACAAAAGAGCAAAGTGACAGCATTAGTGCCTCTTCAGCATACATAATTTCCTATGTGTAAAGAAAATAACATTTTCAAAAAATAAAAAAGTGATTGTGCATCACTGAATTACATTAACTTTTAGAATTAAAAATATAACATATAAACATAACTGAGAAAAAAATATTCAGTTCAACAGCATTTATTTCCTAGTGGACCTGTTGAGAATATGTTACTTATGAAGTACTTTCATCCATTTGAATCAGCACAATAATTTAGATTAAACTCTGATGTTTTGCTCAAGGATTACTGTTGAGTTCAACTGGTTGATGGACATAAAAAATGAACCTTCTTGGTGACCTTAACTCTAAGCCTATCATTTCAGAACTTCTAAAAGAAAATTCAGCCCTCCTGTTTAAGAACCATATTAATCTTTTCAATTTTTTACTTAATTTGAAGTTAATGACAACTTCTAAATGAAAGTCCTTTAAATTATTGTTGATTTTTATCTTGGCTCTAAATAGGATTGTTTACAGTTGTTTACTTCTGATATTTACTTTATCATTAGGTTAAGATTTTTATTTATTTATCAAACTTCTATACCACCCTTCTTGACTAAATGATTTTGGGCAGTTTACAAATAAAATAATATATAATCCACTTCAAGAGAGGTTTTATGTATAGCTTTAGAGGCAGGACAAAAATATTTATGGCCAAAGTTAAGAAGTGAGAATTTCAGGATATCTGAAGGACAACTTAACAGATAACAGAATAACAGTTGAAAGGGACCTTGGAGGTCCTCTAGTCCAACCTCCTGCTCAAGCAGGAGACCCTGTACCAATATCATTCCAAACAAATAGCCATCCAATATCTTCTTAAAAACTTCCAGTGATGGACTTCCCACAACTTAGATTGGCACTTAGTTCCATATTCTTTAGTATTTGATTATTGAACTTAGTTATGCAACACATTGACAGTAGCCAGAGCAAAGGAATTTTTTTCTATATATAATCAAGATAAAGTTGTCCACAATACTCTTAACAGTATAATCAAAATATATTGTAATAATCAAAATATATTGTAATAATTAATATCCCTGCTGGACTATAATGTGTAATACACCTGTATAAAATATATCCAGCTAAGCGTTAGAATCTTGGGTTTTAAAAATTCTTTGAGCTTGGTTTTTTATTTGCAGACAATTCCATATCCACCTAGATAATATCTGCTCCTTATATAACTTCTCATAATTCTCTTCACATGTACATAAATCAGGAAAAGATTTAAATAAAAACAGGAGTTGTTATCTTAAAAATTATTTTTTTGTAAAATAAATCTTCCCCAAATTAAAAAAAAATGTGATTCTTCTCAAATTTCATCTGTTAATATTTCCTATCTTTCAATAAAGAGGAAGTACAATTTTGCACATTTTCTATAATTGTCTGAGATGCTGTAAAGACAAGTGCAGGTGTGTGGGAGTTGCTTTTGATTAGATGGTGTCTCATGACTCAGATTTAAATGTCGCACCCATATGATTGTGTAATTTAAATGGAAAATGTAGCCAGGTGGGATTTTCATGTGGAAAAATTCCCTGCCCTAGGAAGCCGCGCCTGTGTTTGTCAAGCCTAGAATTATTATATCATTAGCTCTTTAAAACTAAAAATACTGGTTCACGATATAGCTATGTCCAGGAATAAAGTCATGAACCAGGCCATAGCTGAAAAAGGTTTTGCACTATCTCAACCTCAACCACACTAAAGGTTATTTCATTTTTTTCAATTTCTGTGTGCAATGAAAAAAAAAGCTGGAAACAAAAAAGATGTTTTCTAAAAAGAGCCAAAGGCATTGGGATTTTTATTATTGTGAAATTCTCTTTTCATAGGACATAAAATTAACTATCCTTGATTCTTCTACTTTTAAGGAGTTGTTTTTTCAGTTGGACATCACAATTCTCTTCCTTCAACCCAGTTATAACTTACATTGATTTAAGGGCACTTTTGTTTTTTAGAGAAACATTCATGCAAATATAAGATCAACATGACTTCTGATATTCCATCATTTACTTTTCCCACCCTATTTCTTTTTTCTTTTTAATAAATTGTATTAATTTTCTATTAATGACATTTCTTAGTGCTTAATAAACATCATGTTGTCTGGGTATTTAATTTGCTTAGTAATACAGATTCTATTCTTATTCTCCACCCCTTTTTTTCCAACCACTGTAAAATAAATTCCATGTTTGATAATATTCAGTGTCTTCTTTCTGTTTAATTTTCAATGAAAGTCTATCTATTTCTTCACAATCTAATATCTTAATTATCTCTTCATCTTGCAGTGTTTCTTCATTTTTCCAATATTGTGTGAAGATAATTGTCACTGCTGTTAAGACATGTAATATTAAATACATATTTTTCTTATCAAATTTTTCTGATATCATCCCTAATAATAACAGTTCAGGTTTAAAATCTACATGTTTCCCTATTATCTTTTCTAGCCATCTGTGTATTTTTGCCCAAATTTGTTTTGTTTTAACACAAGTCCACCACATATGATAAAATTTGCTTGTTTTTTAATTACATTTCCAACATTTGCTAGACATATTTTTAAACATATTAGCTAACCTAGCATGTGGTAAATGCCATCTATAAAACATTTTATATAAATTTTCTTTATAAAAAATTGCCATTGTTAATATATAGTTCTTTCTCCATAAATTTTACCATTTCTCTAATTCTGTTATAGCCAAAATATTTTTCCTATTGTATCACTGTATCTTTCTCCATTTTTACATTTAGTAAGAAGTTATATACCTTCTTAATTAGTTTTTCATCAGAGTTCAACAGTGTCTTTCAAAAGGTGTTTTTGTCCTGTATAAAAGCCATACTTCTTCATATCTACATTGTATTGGCAATTGACGCAACCATGATACTACATGTATAATGCCCTGGTCTTCAAGCTCTTGCTTCGATTTTAATTTCCCTTCAATGTCCAAAATATCTTTATATGTCACAATTTTTTCAAACTTCACCAGATTTGGGTATGTGAAGGCTTCCCTCGTTGAAAGCCATTCTGGAATTTTCAAGCGTATTTTAGGTTTTATTTTTTCCCATACAGATATTAGTGAGTTTCTCATATAGTGATTTTGAAAGTATGAATTTTATTCTTCTCATACCATAAGAAGGTATGCCGTCCTATTTGTAAATCATGTCCTTCTAAATATAATAGTCTTTGTGCCTAAGCGTTATCCATTCTTTTAACCATGCTACCACAAATGCTTGGTAATATAGAAACCAATCTGTAGTCCAAACCCTCCATTTTCTTTAGATTCTTGTAGCATTTTCAATTTTATTTTCGCTTTTTTCCCTTGCCAAATAAATTTCAGAATGAATTTGTTCAAATCATAAAATAATTTCTTTTTAATTATTGGCGGTACTGTTTGGAACAGGAAAAGCAGTTCTGGTAGGGTATTTCATTTTATCATGGCAATCCTTCCTAACATTGATAAATGTAGGTTTTTCCATTTTTCCAAATCTAATTTTATTTGCTGAAGTAATTTTATGTAATTGTCTTCTTTTATCGTTGCACATCTTGCTGTTAAGTATATTCCCAAATACTTAACTTTCTTAACTATTTGAAAGTCCAAATAGTTTTAAAAATCGGTCTTTCTGCTATTATTAAAGCAAAGATTTTGTAGTCCACATTTAATAAAGATATTGGTCTATATTTTTTATCTGTGTCGGGTCTACATCCTGTTTTGATGTTAGCATAATATTCACTTCTATCCATGTCTTATTCAACTTATCAGAAAGCAATTTAAATTATATCTTAAAACTTTCAGCTTTTAATTATACAATTTATACACTTCATTTGTCTATAAACTTTATAATCTAGCAAATTCCAATAATCCAGTATTCAAATCCACCAAAGTAATCCAGCTCCCAATCAGAATTACAGTTCTGCCGATGTTTTTAATCCAAAATCCAAATCCTGTGTAACCAGCTTGTCTTGCCCAATCAATAAATCCAAGTCAATCAATGTTTGTAATCCACAATAGCCTGTCTGCTTTAACTAGTCCAAACAAATAAATCCCATTAAACAATGAACAGTGAAACACCTTTGTTTTCTCTATTTGCCAGCTGTGCCTTGCTCAGTTGATAGGACACCACCAGATACTTATGTCTTCAAGCCACATCTGTTTACATGTAGGACATTTCAACAATTTTCTCCACTTTGCCACAAGATGTCACTCTCCCTCAATTAATTCTTCAGGGATCTGTAACACAAATAAGTTCGTTAGTGTTCCTTAGTTAGTTATTTTGAGCCATCTATGCTCTCAGAAGCTTTTAAAAAGTCCTCAATGTTTGCCATATAGAGTTTTTTCTTTTATGTTCATTCTGGTTTTCTATTTTAGTTTCTGGGTTTTTTTATGGGGGGGGGGATTTGTTTGGCTGCCACTTCCTCTTGAGAGGGTTATATTTCCCCCTTCTTCCAGTCGCATCTTTTTCTTTTTGGGATTTATCCGTTCCAGGAGTTATATTTCAAAGAGATAGAGAAAAAGTTGTCTTACCCAGCTTCAGAGCACGATGTTGATAATCTTTTTCTTGCTGTCAGTGGCTTCAGGTTGCTACACAAGTACAGCCAGCCCTTTCTCCTGACAGTTTGGAGGCTTTTCCTGGATCAAACGAGTTACCACCATCTGCTTGTGATCCACAGGATCCCTCCATTTATCGTCCCTCTGTGGGATAACCTTCATCCCATTGGGGGTTTCTCGCAGGATGAAACCAATCACGGAAAGCAGAACTCAGCTCTCTCTCAACCGTATCGCCATGACACCAAACCCAAAATCCCACCCTATTTCTATAATATTCATATTTCCTACAATATACTTTTCCAGCCTTACTGAAGATTTCAGGTCAAATCACTAGAAGAAAAAATCCAGATTGTATTTTTTATATATTTTTGTCACTAAAATCCTCTTTCTTGTTTAACTGATAGTTATTATTTATTCCTTGTCTTTTCTTAATCTAAATCAGAAATTGCTCACAGTATGCCTTTATAACAAGTCCATTAAGACAATGTTAACAGCTGCTCCATTTGAAACAAACATATTTATATATTTATATATAGACAGACTGACTATTTTGGCAAGATTCTGTTACCGTGATTTCATCATCTAACCATTTAGAGTCATAAGATGAATAGCCATCTAAATCTAATAATTAGTTATATCTCATAAATTGAGCTCCTCTCTCTCTTTCAGCAAGAGCTTATAGATAGCATTAGTCGAAAACTAAAAGTGCTAAAAGAAGCTCGAGAGACACTCTTGGAAGACATTCAAGCCAATAATCTTCTTGGAGATGAAGTGGAGGTGGTGGTAAAGGAGGTCTGCAAACCCAATGAATTTGACAAGTTTCGGATGTTTATTGGAGACCTAGACAAAGTGGTTAACCTCCTGCTATCACTCTCTGGTCGACTTGCCAGAGTAGAAAATGCATTAAACAACTTGGATGAAAACGCTTCTCCCGAGGAAAGGGTAAGGTACTTGTATTGTCATGTGAGGAGGAACTGTAATTGCACCATGTTATTTTGTTTATCCAGCTCAAGTGTATACTTAGACTCCTGTCTTATTGAGTAGTCTTCTTGGTCAAGAATAAGAAATCAACTTTACCCAAAAGCTGTTATGCTAGAGAGATATTAGTTCAGCAGTGATTTTCTTTTACCTAAACTGCTTTATATGCAAAACCGTTGATCAATCCTACTATAAGAGAGCATTTTTCCTCCTCATTTAGTAGGTGATGACTGCTTGTTGTAGACATTTCAGATTCTAAGCCTCCATCTTAGCTAGCTGCAATTCTAGAAGTGAAGTTGGAGGGGCTGGGGCATTTTGAACCAATCAGTTTTATAGTGTGACCAAATTAAGTGGATCATCCCCAAATAAAGCTCTTAAGGGAATGTGCTTTCTCCAACATACTTTGGACCAAACCACAAAGAACCAAGAAAATAATACTCACTTAACCTCTGAGGTTGTACCCATTTTTAGGGTGGTTGTTCTAAGATGGTAATGGAGCAGAACAACTCATGACAAGACAGTGTCCCTGAAGACATAATTTAATTCGAGCTTGTAGAAAAAAACACTAAAAATAAAAAGGCTCACATAGCAGACAGTTAATCAAATCTTCATCAAGATTTTTGAGGCATATGGGAGTGCTTGCTTAATCAATCAATCAATTAATCATATAGTATAATTTTTTAAATGTTCTACCAAATAATAAAATTCAGAAAGCTGTTTTTTCATTTTACTATTTGCTTGGGAAGCATGTAGGCCTTCCTAAGATGTTTTCTTTTAAACATGATAGGATGATATTCATTGTGGAAATGGAATATAAAGCTAAATGTATTAATCACTACAATTTTCCTGTTCTGTTCCCTTAGCGGATTCTAGTAGAAAAACAGAAATTACTCACACAACAGCATGAAGATGCAAAGGAGCTGAAAGAAAACCTGGATCGAAGAGAACGCATTGTCTTTGATATTCTGGCCAGCTATCTGAGTGATGAAAGCCTTGCCGATTATGAGCACTTTGTCAAAATGAAATCAGCCCTCATAATAGAACAGCGAGAGCTAGAGGACAAAATAAAACTTGGGGAAGAGCAACTCAAATGCCTGACTGAAAGTCTCCAGCCTGAAAGACCCAAATAATGATTCAATAATCCTGGGACTTTGTTTTACATAGTTTTATTTGCAAACCTTGAAACCTTTTATAGTTTTTTAAGACAGAAAAGAGACCAATATACACATGAGCACTGTTCCCTGATTTCCCAAAAGGGAATAAGAAAACTCTTTTAATTTTAGAGACTTGGAGAAAAAGTACTTGCATTAAGCAGACAAAACAACTTTTCCAACACTATGATTAGGCTGGTGAAATACATTGGCACCATTGTACATTTAGATACTTTTTTTAAAAAGTAATTTTAGTCTTTTCAAAATTATTTCAAAACCGTTTGCTCAAGTAAACTTTTAATTATATCCAATTAAAATAATTCAGAATGTACCAATAAATTGGTATATTTCTGTGGCTTTGTGAATTTTAAAGTTCTAATGAATTATATCTATAGTTCATTAATTTATCACTTCAGTATTGATGGCTCTGGAAGAGATAAGAAAGACAACTTTAACTCAAAGCAGTTTTCTTATCTGAATAAAAAACTGAAGGATTGATTCTTATAAGTCTAAGTTTATAATATAGTGCAAAATTAATACGACATTTCATTACGTACTATTTGCCAGGAGTTGTATTAGTCATATATTTGTAGATTGTTCTGCATATTCTTCATCTATATGTTTTCACCTGATGACTTTGCCTTTAAGGATCAATGTTTGTCCAGTGACTGCTATAAGCTCCTTGTTTTACTTGGATACCTCTGTGCTTTGTTTTTATTAGCAAATGATATAACAGTTTGATCTTATTTTCTAGTCCAATCACATGTAGGGACATATTAACACTGTAATCTAAAAAAATATTTTTAAAAAGCCACTTTAAAACCTTTTACATGATAAGGATGCAATAACTGTTGATGTATTAACCAACTTATAAGTAATGTTCCTTAACATTAATGGATGTTTGTAATGAATAAAGATAATTGTTATGTCTTTTCTATAGGGTATTTTTAAGACTTACTGAGAAATAATTTACCCAAAACCTTGAGCCAGTACTGCACAGTACCCTCATTTAGAAGTTAAATTAACTGCACCATTACAAAAGAACTTAACTGTGAATCATTCCACAAGAATAGGTACAATTTCAGCTGTTCTGATTACTCTAGCAATAAAACGGTTAGCTATAGAAGAACTAGCCATAATTGATTCCACATAATCATGATTTCATAAGTGGATATCAGTCAATCCTGTGCATATAAAGCAAACCTAGGACTCCTACCACAACACGTGTTTATAGGATTGCAATCATGTATTCTTGATCGGTCTTTTCCCTCAAATATCAGTGCTAATTCATACATTTGATGCCATTTCCTTCTATGTTGTTAACATTATTTTAACAATTTTTTCTACTACTGTATTTATATCTGACATCATTGTGACATACATTCTCCAGTCCATATTAGACAAGTGTTCCATTTTGTTTCTGGTTTAATCCATCCATCCATCCATACATACATACATACATACATACAAAATATATACACATACACACACACACACACACAAAATATAAAGCAACATTTTTGTTCCAATCAAATGCAACATTTTTTTCTTTAACTCTTTAAGGAAATAAAAGTTTTCTGTGGTGATTCAGTTTGTATATGTGCACTCAAAATATAACTGGTATGTACACAGTAATTTGCATTTAAGTCATGTAATTCATATGAACTTAGTACATAAATTAATGTATAATTATATTTCACTTTGCATAATAATATATTTAATCATTACCTTTGGTTAAGCTTGCCATTTTTTTGTTTGCTGGTTTGGCAGGCTCTCTGGACAGAGCCGGTAAAGGGATTCCCTCTTCTGTATATATACTTTACAAATAATCTCTACTGTTTGTTCTATCTGAGAGATAATCTGGTGCTAATGTCTTGCTTTGGCATCATGAGTGAAGGATTATTTCCTTTATACGTCATTGCAGTATTTAGACTTTTTGTACAGTAAAAAATATATTTTGATTTTTTTTCCTGTGGTCCATTTTCCATATGCTACACAAATCCAAACGACATATTTCAATTTCTTAATTTTTGTTTAATTATCTACCTACTGACAAGGTTATATTGTTTTATCAAGGAAAATAAAATAAAATAAAATAAATACTGTGCTTGAGTATTGAGTGGTGTGTTAATTTTAGCCATTATGTATATTAAAAAATATAGAAAAAACAATTACTACCCACCTGCCTTCAATTGAGGACCTGTATACTGCATGAGTCAAAAAGGGCTGTGAAAACATTTACAGACCCCTCACATCCCAGATATAAACTGTTTCAACTCCTTCCCTCAAAACGACGCTATAGAGCACTGCACACCAGAACAACTAGACATAAGAACAGTTTTTTCCCGAAAGCCATCATTCTGCTAAACAAATAATTCCCTCAACACTGTTCAACTATTTACAAAGTGCACACTACTATTACTGTTAATCTTCTCATCACTCCTTATCACTCATCCCCTCCCACTTGTGACTGTAGGACTGTAACTTTGTTGTATCCGTATGATTTATATTGACTGTTTCCTAGTATGATTTGATTGTTGATTGTACCCTATGACTATCATTAAGTGTTGTATGTTATGATTCTTGATTCTTAATGAATGTACCTTTTCTTTACGTATACTGAGAGTATTTACACCAAGACAAATTCCAATCACACTTGGCCAATAAACTATTCTATTCTATTAATATCATTATGTAACAATCTTTTTCCATTATGAAGAATGTTAATTCTACTTGAATGTTGATTAATTAGCATCAAATTATAAATCAAGATTACTTCAATTTCCATTTTTTTTAACCAAAGACAGCTTCCACATTAAAATAAGAAAAATACAAAAACAGTTGGAAAGTTCTCATTTGTACGTGCAATATGATAGCAATATTCAGTTTTCTAATTTGACATGACAAATAGATTTTTTAGAAGACATAGCAAGTTAAAGCATTCCTGTACAAAGTTCTGCCTCTTATCCCTTCTCTACTCTTCTTTTCCTTTTTGGAAGAATGACCCAACCGTGAATTTTTTTGTATCCACTGAATCATTAAGATCATATTTATTTTATTTTTTCCCTTTCACTTACAAGTTATTGTGTGTGTAGTTTTATATATTAGTAAGTAATATTTATCAAAGTATACTGGCTTAATCCAGGAATGTGCAGACATTATTTCATCATATGTCTAGGATAGGGTTCTATGGCATTATCCGTAATATCATTGAACAACCAGATCTGTCTATCTCAGGTCCTTACAAAGGACTCAAAAGGTAGACAAAAATACCAAATTGTCTGTCTAACTGCAATGAGTCATAATAATAACTTATCGTTTTTGTCACCCAACTCTTTAATGTATTAGTAGTAACAACTTTGAGTATTCTGTTGACTAAGAGGAGCTATTAATTTGGAAAGCTTTTATGATTAAAAAATCAATAAAAACAAATAGCACAAACACATGTATTGGTAATTAACTGTAAACAAGTTCCCAATTTTCAAGATTTTTGGTATATAGCCACTATGTGGTTTTGCTTAGCTTTCTCTGGCAGTTAAAGTTCAGAGAGGGATGCTGGTTTACATAAACAGCAGTGTGTCATTGTAGCAGAAGTGATTGTATGCTGGACTACTGGGGAGATGAAGATTCAATCATGGAATCTGACTGACAGACTTTGGACTAGTTGTTCAGTCATACCACAGCCTATCCTACATGATTCGTGGAAATAAAACGAAGATCCTGGTGTAGGTTTTCATGGTCAGTATCTGTTGGGTTGTATTGGAGCCAGGGTTTAGCAACTATGGTCTAGACAACATTTCCTGACATTTTGCCAGCAACTGTGGCTGGCATCTTCAGACAAGGTAGACTGCTATAAATGCCGGCAATATTTGCCAGCAAAATTTCAGGAATTCTCTTGTCTAGACCACAATCTCTAAACCCTGAAGCTCAGCATTGCACAAGAAGAAATCCCTTTCAACACCCATAAAAAAGAAGGGATATAAATCCAACCCTAAGAAATGTAGCATTTACCTTTTCTATTTCTCTCTCAAGAGTAAATCACTGACAAACTGCCTTGTCAAAATAAACATTTGGTTATTTTCTTCATTTGACATATTGTGTCCCTAAATAGGCCAGCACAGATAGACTACAAATTAATTAATTAAAAAGTGTTAAGTTTTTGATTTTGAAAGTAAATGGCATGTCTAAAACAGAGCAGTGACACTATAGCTTCAGGAAATATCATTTAAAGGTCATTTTGTTACAATGTAATCAGCATGTTATCATTTTAAACGTTTTCACCAATGACTCTTAATATAGAAGTTGTTTCATTTGATATGAGGTTTTCAACATCTGCCAGAAGTCTCTTACTATCCATAATGTCTTACTCCAACTTTTATTATTCTGTATGATTTTTTTGTACTTAAATTACAGGATTTAAGTAGACCAGACATATGAACTATGTCTAATAATTTATTTGATAAGTTTTTAATGCTTTATTAATACTTTCAGACACACTTGGATAAATCTTATTTTGCTGAAGTTCTGAAGGAACATAATGCTAAAGAAAAAAACATGCTTATTGAAATGATCATTGGCTTTAGCTTTTCAAGAAAGAAAAAATAGCAAAGTAGAGATTTCTTCTACACTTTGCGATTGAGAGATATGAAATCTGAAATCAGATAAGATCTGATTCACAGGCAAGTTTTTTGAAGAAGCAAGATAGGATTAAATGGGGAAAGTCTACTGAAAACCTTTAGCATACAGCTGAGAACCTTCTTTAGGTATGCAAGTGGGGGAAGCAGGATACAGCAGAAGGAAATGAGGGCAAGAGTTTGCAATAAGAGACTCGGGAGCAGAAAGGAGAGATGAGGGGGGCGGGGGGCGGGGGGAGTTTGCAGTCTGATTTCATTATTTTTCCATCACAAAAATCTGCCAATATGTACAGGGGTGGAATTCAAAAATCCCAGCAACTGGTTTGCTGCCCAGTTGCTGGGTGGGTATGGCCATGATGGGCATGGCCTACTGGAACTTCCAGGAAGGCCATTTTTTGCCTTCCCAAGGGTCTGGAGGCTTCCCTGGGCCTCTGGGAGGGCAAAAACAGCCTCCCTCCAGGCTCTAGAGGCCCAATGGAAGCCAGGAATAGGCCCGTTTCCGGACTTCTGGAAGGCCCATTCCCCCCCCCCCCAAGCATACATACTATGTCGCCCCCCCCAAAAAAGACCCGGTCTTATTTTCTTTTGGACCCCAAAATAAGCACCAGGGCTATATCCTATTATTTGTGTTCATATTTTTGTATTTTATTCTATAATCTAATAAAAATGTTTTTAATAAGTGTTTGCTTATTTGACCTGTCTAGGCTGTCACAGAAATGGAAAGAGATCTATGATACACTTGAATTTCTAGTAATAAAAAGCTTAAAAAGGGGTGAGAAATAAAACAAGGCACACAGACACAAAAAAGAATATGATTTAAATAATTCTGAGTACAACAGCTAGCAAAGTGCATTGGGAATTGTATTTGAAGTGAGACTCAAGCCAAATGTCTTTTCTGACCTTTTGATAGAAATCTTTGTTTCCATAAGATATCCTTTTCCATTTCACATATTCATTCTTACGTTCAAATTCTTCATATTATAAGCAATAAAAATACTGTCTCCCTTTAGTTTTAAAATGTTTGTTATGAGTAATGCTTTAGAATATTTTTTAAAACAATACAGTATACAATATAAAAATAAAAACCAAAATGAGGTCTTTTCTAAAGATCTGTAAGAATGAAGAGCTTGTAAAAAGCTCACTGCATCTTAAAAAATCTTATGGTGTGAAGCCAGTAGTTAATGCAACTAATGCTACATTGCTAACAGTAAAAGAACAAAAGAGTTAATCTATATTTTAAATATTTTATTTTAAATGTAGTCTCAACATTTCAACTGAAACTTTGGAGATTCCCAAGGCAACAAGAATGTTTGGATCAACATTCTTAAGAAACAAAACTGCAAAAAAAAAACCCTACCAGTAAAAAGAATCACTTGTAGTCATGCTTCAGCTCCTTTAATCTAGTCAAGGCAAGTCTCAGCAAGGCTAGTTTTGGTGAGAACTGGGAGAACAATTGCTCTACTGAGAACACTATCTTCAAAATAATTATTTTATTGAAAGCTTGACCAGGTTGTAATATTTTTTATCTCATGTATTTTTCCATATTTTTAACAACTCATTTACAACTTCTGGAAGCAAGTTTAACAGATAATCAGAGTTGGAAAGGACCTTGTAGTTCATCTAGTCCAACCCCCCCGCCCAAGCAAGAGACCCTACACCATTTCTGACAAATGGCAGTCCAATCTCTTCTTGAAAATCTCAAGTGATGGTGCTCCCACAACTTCCGAGAGTAGTTGTTCCACTGATTTAATTGTTCTAACTGTCAGGGAAATTCTCCTTAGTTCTAGGTTGCTT